TTCAGCTTCTCAGTAACCTGTCACTGTGCTTACTTCAGCTTCTCAGTGACCTGTCACTGTGCTTACTTCAGCTTCTCAGTGACCTGTCACTGTGCTTACTTCAGCTTCTCTCAGTGTCACTTGTCACTGTGCTTCTCAGTGCACTGTGCTTACTTCAGCTTCTCAGTGACCTGTCACTGTGCTTACTTCAGCTTCCCAGTCAGCTGTCTCAGTGTTTACTTCAGCTTACTTCTCAGTGACCTGTTGCTGTGCTTACTTCAGCTTCTCAGTGACCTGTTACTGTGCTTACTTCAGCTTCTCAGTGACCTGTCACCTTTCAGCTCTGTGACCTGTCACTGTGCTTACAGCTTTCAGCTTCTCAGTAACCTGCACTGTGCTTACTCAGTCACTACTGTGCTTCAGCTTCTCAGTGACCCTGTTACTTCTCAGCTTCTCAGTAACCTGTCACTGTGCTTACTTCAGCTTCTCCTTAACCTGTCACTGTGCTTATTTCAGCTTCTCATTAACCTGTCACTGTGCTGACTAACTAGAGGATCAGAGTGTCAGGGCAAAAACTTATGTAAGGTTTTGATAACACTGGGCAGTAAATGAAGGAATGGCCAGCAGACGCTGTGGAATCTGAAATTCGACAAGTGATTCATGTCCAGACCTGCCCATGTGACGTGACTATCTCTATCAATACAGATGGTTCTGGGCAGCTCTTTCTGGCAGTCCTAAAAATTCTTAATTTTATAAGTAGACAACAAATCAAATGGTTTGGCCATGTAACAAGAGTGGCAGCAGACAGGGCACCACATTGAGCAATGTTATACAGATACAACGGCAACAGACCCAGAGGTCTACCACGCAGAATTCTGACCCCATAAATATCCGAGACACTGAAAAGTACTATATACAAAGCAAACAGAAGGGCCCGTTCTAGAGATCTCTTCCTCCCCTGACGTCGTGAGGCCCTCCAGGAGTAGAGAGAAGAAGAAGAAGAAATTCTAAGAAATCTTCTTCTAGTTTATGCTTCATAGATATTTACACTGTTCTACAATGACGGTCGGCTCTGTGGATAAGTCGATGCGAACGCTTCGTAATGCCAGGGTGCAGGGGTCGATCCCAGCTGCGGGCCATGCACCTTGTGTTGGTTTCGACAGTGGTATCAGGGAGCCGACCGTCTAGGAGCAATGGCAAACTACTGGACGTGCCTAGAGAAATCACACAGCAGCCAGGGGCTGTTGGGGTTGGTTCTACTACGTCCTGTAAAGGATACACAACTAACCTACATGAGGGTGTGGGTGGAAAAAAAAGGGGAGGTGTGGGGGGGGGGGGGTCGACTGCAAGACCATTTGAACAGGCTAAGTTCAACATGCTAAAAGATATAACATGAAAATAAATACAACTAACACTGAAGTAATGCGGGTCAACATAATTTCTAATCCGCTATCGGGTTGAATGGTACCTGTCTGAAGCAAGTTTAAGAATTCAAATACCTAGGAAGTATATTCTAGAGAGATGGTGGAGTAGATTAGGAAATAGGAACAAGATGCCAACGAGCCAGTGCACTAATATACAACCTGACACCATTATTAAGACGTCCAAACACAGGTATGAGCGCTAAGAAACAGATTATAGGTAACATATTCTTCTTCTTCTTCTTCGCGTTCACCGGCTGTGAACTCCGACGGAAAGTTCTGGTTGTTCGTCCACATCTGGACTGCAGTCCTGTTCCAGAACCTGAGTGTTGCGTGTGCATCTGTTCAACAGATCTATATGCAGACTGTTGGTTCCTTGCCTCTCAGGCAGATGCACTCCGACTTCGAAGGAAACTCCCAATAAGTCGCCTCTTACGACATGCTTTTGGGTAGGCAGTGGGTCTATTCTTGTTTTTCCCATAGTAGGGCCCCGGAACCCACACGGGGGATGAACATATTCATACCAACACTGTGCTACAAGTGCCAGACTTGGACATTATCAAAGGCTAGACAACGTAAAAAGTAAAACATATGAAATGAGATGCCTGAGAAAAGCTGCCAACTCAACTATCCCAGACAAAGTTAGAAATGATATTATCACACAGACTATAGGAACACTGCGATGCAGCAAACTCTTTGAGAAACAGAAAATCGAATGGTTTGGTCATTAAGAATGCAGCCTGAACAACTACCAACGCAGGCTCTACACACGAGTTATGAGTTATTATCTGGGTTATTTTCATGCACTCCGGACATGTCCATATGTGCTCAGATTCACCCTTTCACGTATATAGCAACGTCCCGCGGTTGATAGTCCCAGTCCTATGTTGATTGACAAGACTTCTCGTGCGTCCGGTGTGCTTCTCATGCCTGGCTGTGTCAATATTTACCCCCAATTCTTGCGCTCTTAGCAAAGATGTGGATACGCTGCTCATAAAATCCTCCAAACACCCTACCTCTGTAATGGCTTTAACAATGTCTGCATGATCCATGAGCCGGCCCTCTGGAACTACACAAGAAAGAACTGAAGTGATATCAAGAGGCCGTCCTATGAGAAATAGACTGATGACATTAAAGAGCTTCTACATCGACACGGAATGACAATAGTTATTGCTGCCCATCGCGGCGTCCGTGGCTTAGGCGTTGCGAGTCCGACTCGTAATTCCAACATACCGCGATCGAAACCAACTGCTGGCTGCGTGGATTTTTATCTTGGTATGGGGCGTCGCAGGTCGACCCAGCTTAAAATGGGTACCAGGATGTATGTCGTGGGGAAGTAAAAACGGCCGGCGTGATGCTCACCACATTACGCACCTAGTGCCGATTGGTCTGTAAAAATATGGGTGCTCTTCCCATATGCCCGATGCGCATAAAGGCATAAAAATGGATCTTTACTTTACTATTGCTGACCATCAAGCAATGAATCTCAAACTGTTCCTCCCCACGTCGCTTTACCCCAGAAACGGAAATTGATGATGATGCGATATTTACATTAACTCTGAATAACCAACTATTTTTCTTTTACAGACTATACGGTACAAAGTGCGCCGGCTGTTCTCAGGGAATCTCCCCAAACGACCTGGTGCGCAAGGCGCGCAGTCAAGTCTTCCATCTGAAGTGTTTCACCTGCGTGGTCTGTCGCAAACAGCTGTCTACTGGCGAGGAGCTCTACGTGCTGGGGGAGAATAGGTTTATCTGCAAACAGGACTACATCAGCAGCAAATACACGGGTGAGAAATGTGTGTTTTCTCATCTGTCGTTTGTCCGTGTTGTGTGAGGAGGACTGTTGATTTATTATGGATTGGTGCATGCGCACAAAGCATGTCCAAAGAGTCGACTAACTGAGACCTTCCTTCTAAGTCGGAATGCATCTGCCTGAATGTTGAATGTTGAATTAAGAATCAACATCATAGCACTCGGGAGACTCCCATAAGCGGTCCGTCCCATTTTTCAGCAGCAAGCGAAGAGTTCCAATTATGATGGTACCAGTAACTATTTGATTTACATTCGTGTCGCCTTTCCCCTGGCTGTTGAGCGTCGGCCAGGCAAGGAACCAGCATACACATGAGTCAGATCTGTAAAACTGATGTACACGCAATACTTAAGTTCTGGAGCAGAAACAGAAGTGGAAGAACAATCAGAACTTTCCACCAGAGTTTACAACAGGCAAACGTGAAGAAGAAGTAGGTCTGGAATGAGTGCATCATCTTTACCATAGCAGAAAATGGTTGCCCATTCAGCAAAGTTCTCCTATCGGCCTGCTTTGTTTACTGTCAGTGAAAGGCAACATCAAAACGTTTAGCACAAAGCAGGTTGCAGAAGCTGCCGAATCAGAAAAGCAGTACTCTATCCTCCCGTAGGAGCTTCCCTCTTAGACCAGCTGCCAGCAAAAGGCTAAGAGCCTGGTCTGCTCTGCCAGAATATTTCGTTTACAGGTTTTCACCGCACCAGGTAACCGTCGATATGCTGAGATTAGACACAGCTTCCCGGTCCGATATACTTGTAATTATTGTTGTGCTTGTTATTCCACCTATGCTTGGTTGATATACATTTGTGTAACCTATGGTGCCATCTCAATGGTTTGAGATTAGTTTTGCCTGTATTCCATAGTTGTGGATTTCAAGCTGTACGATAGACATGGCTAATGAAGAGACCTTTGTTTTAGGGGTGCTTATTTGGTTTTTATCTTAGTATTATTGTTTCCATAAAGAGGCGCACACGTCATTTGGAGGTGATAGGTTCGATTCCCGGCATGATAACTATAGCTTTCAATTTTTATGTTGTCTGGTGTGTCCTATTTTTCTTCTTCTTTCTGTGAGTGCCGATCAATACATTGTCTTTTTGTTTATCAGATATACCATTTCTACAACATCAAGGGTCCCCCTCTGTTTATTGATGTGAATTAAAGCTAATATGTTTATCCGTTGACCAAAATATATCAGAAGTGATCTGCTTCCTGTGAAGTTGCCAGGTGTCGGTAAGTCACTGAGGGATCACAGCGTGAATACTTCAGACAACTATGTAGAGAAAGGGTGTTATGTACTTAACCTCATAAAGTTGTGGGCTAGTTTTTATGATGTGTAATATCTGTTATCTATGTGACACCTGGACATACACTTGGACCCATACCTGGATCTCACGTACACCTGGAGTTGAAGGATCTATTTGAGGAAAACAGGGGTAGAGACCAAGAGGAGGACAGCGTTACACTAGGGCCAACAACAGATGGACTGCAATTTGGAGGTGCTCGTATAAATGTTTCATAGAAAAGCAGGACAGAGTGTGTTGACACTTCTGACGGATTTCTTACCCATTTAATGCGCGTGCATATTGTTGGTTTTGTAGAGACTAAAGTCTGTTTTTTTTTTTTTTTACGAGGGACACTATGGCTTTTGTTTGGCTTTCGCTGGCACCGGGCTGGTGACAGCTATAATGCGGCCCGTTTGCCGTCAGTTCGAACTGCAGCTAACATCTAATTAACTAACAAATGGGCACCTGCAAATTTCTGGAATTATCTCAAGAAGAAGAAGGCATGTGAAGTTAGAATAAAACGACTGAGCATACAGAGAGAATTACCGGTGACACGGAGGCTAAATCTGTGAACCTGAGGATGTCGAATGGCTGTGGACCACGAGGATGTCGAATGGCTGTAGCCCACGAGGATGTCGAATGGCTGTAGACCACGAGGATGTCGAATGGCTGTGGACCACGAGGATGTCGAATGGCTGGAGACCACGAGGACGTCGCATGGCTGGAGACCACGAGGAGGTCGAATGGCTGTAGGCCACGAGGATGTCGAATGGTTGCAGACCACGAGGATGTCGAATGGTTGCAGACCACGAGGATGTCGAATGGCTGGAGACCACGAGGATGTCGAATGGCTGTAGACCATGAGGATGTCGAATGGCTGTGGACCACGAGGATGTCGAATGGCTGTGGACCACGAGGATGTCGAATGGCTGTGGACCACGAGGATGTCGAATGGCTGTGGACCACGAGGATGTCGAATGGCTGGAGACCACGAGGATGTCGAATGGCTGTAGACCACGAGGATGTCGAATGGCTGTGGACCACGAGGATGTCGAATGGCTGTGGACCACGAGGATGTCGAATGGCTGTAGACCACGAGGCAGACCAAGAAGACCACGGAGAGATAATAATCCAGACAGACCTGCAAACACATGGTGTCATCAACTGGAAAGACAAGGCAAGCCAAAAAGATGAAATGAGTCGGGTGATATACGATTCAGTGGCTCGGAATGCTGAAGAAGAATAAGAAGACTAAGAAGAAGAAGAAGAAGAAGAAGAAGAAGAAGAAGAAGAAGAAGAAGAAGAAGAAGAAGAAGAAGAACGAGAAGAAGAAGGAGGAGAAGAAAGACGACGAGAACGAGGAAGCGAAGAAAGGGAACAGGCGACCCACCTTGTATGGTTTTGCCTCAGATATATCAATCGGCACATGATGGCAGGCTGGGGACTACCAACAAAACATGGCTTGGACTTTAAGAAGAAGTATCACTTGACGACTCCAAGATTCTCCAGTACCCCACGGTAGCCGGTTACGAATGTCTTTCTCATAGTTTTCGGATAATAGTATGTGAGTGCCACCGTGGAAAAGATTGTGGCTTCACCAGGTCATATGCCCAAAGCCAATAATGTAGCTCATCTTAGTTATAGAGACAGCACGGAATTAACAGAAATAATTCATTGGCTAAGCATCAGCGCGCGATACCATCTGGCCGGTGTGAAAGCGCGTCTTATTTTCTGACTTCCGGTCACTATCAACTTATGCGTGCTCTTTGTGACATTTTCGCTGTAGTTAGACCACGGCAGTTACAGCAGGTCACAGGGGATCGAACCTCAGGTCCCCCAGGCGTGACTTGACGCTAATAATTAATTAATGAACCGCCGATATAAACTCCCTCGAAGGGCGGTGGTGTTCGCAGTATCTGGCACGAGTCGCTTTCAGATGTTATCTTTGCCATTCAAGGGCGATAAGTTGTTGCTCTCTTTAGGGACCACAAGGGACGCAAGCAATCGTAACGCCGTAACTTAACGTGAATCAAGATGGGCAAGCAATTGAGAAGGGTGGGGGGGGGGGGGTGGGGTGAGAAACAGACAGACGGACAGGCAGACAGACAGACAGACAGACAGACAGGGGAGGAACTAACACACAGTGTAGAAAGTTTTAGGGTAAAGTCCAACCGATGATTGACAAGTCTAGAACAAGGTTGGCATGAACGGACTCGGCGCCTGTGTTGTATCCTAGTAATCAGTTATCTCCCTTATATTAAACATATCATCCCCTTGTGGGATATGATTTTTTGTTATTTGAAGCCCCACCCTGGCTCTCGTCAGGGGCCGAAATATAGCCAGGCCATAAATATGGCCTAATGACTGAACGCGGTTTCTGGGACCTCTCTACGGGTGATCCTCATCCGCATAGTGGCACTTTGTGTCATTGGGTGTTTATCGCTTGTGTGATGTCTTAGTGGGGTAGGGTAAAATCTGCTTACTTAACTTACTGTGTTGTATTGCAAGATGCAAAGCATAGAAGCAACAGAAGTAGGAGAAGAAAAAGAAGAAGAGACACTGTGGGTACCAGGGTCCCATTGTGGAAAAAACAAGAAGTCGACTAATTGGGCACATCCTTCGAAGTCGGAGTACGTCCGATTGAAAGGCAAGGAACCAAGAGTCTGCATACAGAGAAGCCAGATCTGTGAAATGGGTGTGCACGGAACACTCAGGTTCGGTAACAACATTAAAGTCCGGAGACAGACTTTAGACACTTTGCAATTGTCTGAAATCGGTTATTTGCGAACGGAAATTAAATTGTCGTCACGTCACGTTGTGGAATCCTCTGTTTGAGCATGTCACGTCATGTTGTATAACCCTCTAGTTGACCGTGTCACGTTATGTTGTATAACCATCTAGATGACCGTGTCACGTTATGTTGTATAACCATCTAGATGACCGTGTCACGTCATGTTGTATAACCCTCTAGTTGACTGTGTCACGTCATGTGAAAACCTCTAATTGAGCGTGTCACATCATGACGTAGAACTCTCTACTTAAGCATGTCATTTTATGAAACCCTATACTTGAGCGCGTCACGTCATTTACCTCTCTAGATGCATCTTTCACGTCCTGCTTGGTAACTCTCTAGTTATCAGTGTCACGTTTTACTATACTCTCTAGCTGTGTATGTCACGTTCTGCTATGTAACTCTCCAGCTAAGCGAGTAACGTTACATTGTGAAAGTTATAACAAAGTTATCAATATCTCTTTCAAGTTTTATGTAATGTTGTTCTTACTGACGTTTATTCTTTCTGGTTTATTGTCTGAATTTCTTGCTTTCGTCGCTTCAGTCATTCGTTAACTCATTAGTGATTGTTCTTTCTATCTTTCTGAAACGATGATACAGCACATGCAGAAAGAAGGATAAAATTATCAATGTCCTTCTCAATTCCCCCCTGTCCTACTTTGCTCTGCTGCACCACTCAGGCTTTTCTAGCGTTGTCGCCAGAATTCTGTACAACCTGTGGCCCAACTTGACAACTCTTCCCTGGTCCAGTCGGTCAAATGGAAACTCTCACAATATGCCAGGAAAGATGACTTCAAGTATTGTTTGAACTTTGGCTCTCTGCACGGACTCATTGAGTTAGCGGATGGAGTCGTCCCCGATCTTTCTTCGAGAGCTCTATTGTCCACGACAGAAGTACTAGCCCTGTGGAGTATCGTTGGAGAAATCTGGTATTTTCTGTGTCTCTATCCTTTTGTTGCTTGTCTCTCCCCTACCCTCATCTCTGTCCGAGGGTTCTCGGTAAGGAATGAGTTCAGAATATTCCCTCATCCCACCCACGTTTCTCGCAATGACTCCCGTCTGATTAACCCTCATCTCATACGTTCTCATATTTTCCCCTATAATCTTTCGCACCCACTCTAACATTTTCCCCATTTTATGTAATTTTTCTCACATTTTCCCCTATAATCTCATGAACTCTCACATTCCCCCCCCCCCCATGATCTCATCCATTTTCATCTCATTCACTCCCACTTCATCACAACTACTATTATCTAATCTCCTTTCATCCCACCTACTATTAACTCATGCACTCCAATCGCTTCTGTTTCTGTTCGCCCCCTTTCTTCTTAATCAGTCAAGTGCGCTTCTCATACCTGTCGTGTTCGTCTGATCCATTTTCTTTCTACCCACTCTTATCTCACCCATTCTTATCTCACCAACTTTTATCTCACCAACTTCTATCTCACCAACTCTTATCTCATCAAATCGTATCTCACAAATATTTATCTCACCAATTCTTATCTAATCAGTTCTTATCTCACCCAATCTTCTTCTTTTGCGTTCATCAGAAGATGTAATTGCGTTGTGTCCGTTCACAGCATGGCTGCGATATTTGCACCTTTCGGCCAACACATCCGACTTCTGCAGGCATTTGTTGACCGGGTTAACCTTCCGGGTTCACCCAGTCTTATTTCACCCATTATTATCCCACCCACTCTTATCTCACCAACGCTTACTGTTTCTGACAACCTCCTATTGCTGTCCACCCACTCTGTCGATCCACTATCATTGGCCACTCATTCCAGCCATCCACAAACTCTGTTATCCAAGACACAGTTGATGTCTGCCTGTCTGTCCGCCCAAGCGCCCGTCCGTCCATCCATCAGTCCATCCGTTTGTCTGTCTGTCTAACTGCACACAGCCAGGAATATATTTCTTCTTCTTGCTCGATAAATGTAAGTAAAGTAAAAAAGTAAATAACGGACCTTTTTCCACGCCTTTAGGCATATAGGGCATATAGGGCTAGAGCAAGAAATGTGCCCAAAGAAAATGCCCAAATATAAGACAGGCCTGCAGTCGAATATATGAACCTTACAAAGCCCCCCAACCCCCGCCCCAACTTACTTTCTCTGTATGTGTGTGTCTATGTGAGTGAATGAAATATTTGTGAACAAAGTGATGTATGAAAGGAAGCAGATAAGAATGGCAGAATGTTAGACAGTCCTGCGTGTTCAGTTCTTAACTCTTTGAAAATAAAACTGTGTTCTTTTATTCTTTATCTCTCTGTGTTTTTCTCCCCCCCCCCCCTTTTTTTTTCTCTCTCTGTCTCAAGAAGGCAATGAGTTAATCTCTCCAGTAAGTGTAATAATAGTATCAGATCCCAGAATCCCCCAGCTGTAGAGCCCTTGGAGCAGCTAAGACCCTCTTCACTGCTTGCAGGCAGGCAGGCGATGCTGTCCATTGGGCCTCTACTTGTGCTGGTACTCGGCACTGCGGCGATCCTTCGATCGAACGAGCTTTTCTGTCGAGGGCAAATTGGAGAGGTAGCCATCTGTCGCTGGCGGAGTCCCGTTCTATAAGTAGAGGAATCTGGAAGAGGGGGAACAAAGCCGGGATGGAGAGCGGAGAGAGAAACAAAAAGAGAGAGAGAGAGAGAGAGAGAGAGAGAGAGAGAGAGAGAGAGAGAGAGTGAAACAAAGAGACAGAGAGAGAGAAACAAAGAGAGAGAGAGAAACAAAGAGAGAGAGAGAGAGAAAGAGACAAAGAGAGAGGGAAAGAGAGAGAGAGAAACAGAGAGAGAGAGAAACAAAGAGAGAGAAACAAAGAGAGAGAGAAACAAAGAGAGAGAGAGAAAGAGAGAGAAAAAGAGAAAGAGAGAGAAACAAAGAGAGAGAGAAACAAAGAGAGAGAGAGAGAGAAACAGAGAGAAACAGAGAGAGAGAGAGAGTGAGAAACAAAGAGAGAGAGAGAAACAGAGAGAAACAAAGAGAGAGAGAGAGAGAGAGAGAGAAACAAAGAGAGAGAGAGAAAGAGAGAGAGAGAGAAACAAAGAGAGAGAGAGAGAGAGAAAAAGAGAGAGAAAGAGAGAGAGAGAGAGAGAGAGAGAGAGAGAGAGAGAGAGAGAGAGAGAGAGAGAGAGAGAAATGCAGACAGTAAAACATATAGATCCATAGGATAAAGAAAGACGCAGGAAGGTTGAAGGTGGGATGGGGGTGCTGAATTGTGATAAGAGAGATGGGGAGAGATTTAGAAAGAGATGGAGAAAGATGACGAAAGATGGAAAACGAGATGGAGAGAGAGCGAGATAGACAGAGAGATTGAGAAAGAGATGAAGAGAGATTCGGATCTGGCGAAATATGGAAAAAGAGATGGGAAAAAAGATGGAGAG